AAAAAAAAAATAAATAAATATAAAAATATTGAGACAGAAAGGGCAGCCATGCGAGTGGGAGCGAGCAGGCATACAAATTGGAAGGCGACACTTGGTCTTCTCTTCTGCATCCTCTTCATCATCTCGTCCGTGCTGTATATTAATAATGGTGGACTAATTGGATCTTAATGCTGGGATTTCAATTACATTACATGAATTTATTTATGCTGCAACCAAATGAAATTAGAATGACACTTCTGCGAGAAGAAGAAGACGAGAAGGAGAATTAAACGAAATAGCTCAATAAAACACACTTAAAAAAAAAAAAAAAATTAAAAGTATTTTATTTGCTTAAAGCTGTTGGGAAGATACATGTAAACTTTTCTGAACTTTTACTCTTTACATGAAAAAACATGAATAATGGCGGCCATTTAGAGTTCAACGATTCAAGCCAAACTTTTTTTGGGCATTCATTTAGAATTCATTCATAAACTTTTAGCCAAATGCGTCGCCTTGGCCTCGTGGTTTGAATAATTTATGCATTGGCGCGGTTTTGGACCAAAAACTCCAATTACAATAATTAAGCAAAGCAGCACAGACACCCAATATATCTCTCGCTCTCACTCTCACTCTGCTAAGCCCCCACCCACTGTGCATGCTACTGCTACACATATGCATTCACCTGAAACTCACACGCATATGCTCACACACTCTAATACATATGTATGTATATCCGAGTGTTTGTGTTTTGGGTCGCATCTGAAAAACAAGTTTAATGCGCTTGGCTTTTAGCGCATTAAAACAACATTTATAAATCATTTGTGTAAGCAGCCTAACCACACACGACCACAAAACACTCACACACACACACTCAAAACAACATTTGCTCGTGCCGTTAATTAGAAATGCAAAAGAAATTACAATTAAACATACGCTCAAATTGCGAAATGAATATTCAAAACAAGTCATAAAAATCTTATTTAAAAGCCGCTCGATTAGCCATATAAGATAACTCTTATAACTGGAAAATTAATATGTATATAGTATAAGTAAAAAGCTGCAGTTACAAAAGAGAAAGAGAGAGCGTGTGTAGAGAGTGCTTAGAGCATAGAGCGCAGGCTGTGAGTGGGCGCGCTTGCCATTCCGAACTCAACTACGCTGCACGACAATGTTGGGCCACTGCTTTTGATCCCGTTAGCTGAACGAGCCAGCAAATGAAATGTCGCCTGAGCGTAGGCGCAAGCTCTGCTAGTCTAATTAGTGACTGCGCGTTTATCCTGTTGATCGGTCGTGCGTGTTGAAGAAAAAAGAGCTGAGTTAATTAAACGGCTATTAATTATAGTGTGTGTGAAGAGTGATAAATCAAAGTGTTTAAAATTTGACATTTGAAATCGCTGACTCATTAGTTTATAGTTAACTTGAATCTATGAAAAACTTCGATACTGTTCTTCAATATTTAGAGCAGTAAATCAAAAATTCATTGTGCTGCTTTCGATCCCGTTAAATGTGCAATAAGAGAGAGTGTTGCAGCGCCCATGTATGCCAAGTGAAGAAGAAAGCTCTTTCATACAATTCAGTTAGCACGCGTTTGTCCTTTTGATCATTGCGCTTGAATGCAGAGCTAAAAATTAATTGAATTAATTTAATTGCTGTTCGTGCTTTCATTATGTTTTTCATTGTGTGCGTGCTAAGTGCTACAAATCAGTGTCATGAAGAGAGAAGTGAGAGCTAGAGTATGAGTGGGCAATAATTTAATCCTAATGTGCATATGTGAGTGGTTACAGCTTGCAAAAAAGAAGAGAAGAGAAGAGAGCGAGAGCATTGAGTGCGAACAGGAGAGATTGCTATTGTGTCCTATGCCACATGTAGCTTTGAATTGAGTGATAAAGAGAGAGAACGAGAACAATTTATTGAGTGTCAAAGTGAGTGAGGGCGAAAGCACATCTGAGAAGTGCGATAAAAAGACTGAAAGAGACAGAGAGACAGAGTGAGAGCGGAGGTTTCGATAGCGCGCGGCCTTTTTGCAGAGTGGTAAGCGTGTTCTCTAAAACTTTACTGAAAAAAATTTTTGTATAGGACTCCAATAAAAATAAACGTTGAAGGGGAAACATTATAAAATATTGTGTTCGATATATATATATATTTTATATTTATATTGGTAATGTGTCTTAAACTGAACAATAATAAATAATCAGCATCTATCTACATATCTACTATTTATTGCTATCTATCGACTATTTATCTACTATCTATCAGCATACTTATCCTTTATCTATCTATTATTTATCTTTTTCTGTTTGGTTCAGAAGACGCTCTTATATTTTTGTTGAAATATACTACTTACTTATATTAACTATAATACACTTATAATGCATTCATAATTTACCTCCTACAAATCTATTCTAATGCCAAAACTCACTTTGTGAGCTTTATTGCACTAGTGTTGTTGCTTTGATTTCTGTTTATGCTCGTGTAATTGTAATTAATGAGTTCGTATCGAGTTACAAACAGCTATTGAAATAACCACTAGAACGAACCTGAACGAGTTCATTCATTTATCAGTTGTTCAGCTTTTTCTCCGCCCTCTCCGAGAGTTGCTCTAATTGAATTTTTCGGATGGCAAAAGTTTCGACATGTGTCCTTTCGGCTTTTTGTGGATAGCACAAAGTTTCCTGCGAGGCGCCAAGTTCTTTAATTGCAATTTGCTCTAGACGTAGTCGTAGTTTCCCCGCTTAAATGACGATTTATGTGCTTAGCATTCGGATTATATAAGGCGCTAAATTGCTTTCTCTTGACTTTTTGGGGCAGCCATAAGTTGCTGCCACACCGACACAAGGTACACAATTTAATTGGCCAAATCCCACGCTTGTCGCCACATTAAGTGCCATTGATTGTGGCATTAAGCGGACAAATAACGTAGTCCCCGAAATATTACAGATGAATTTTGGGGGACTTGGCGCTAGCTGTAATTAATTGAGATTACCATTAATATGTGATATTTGTGTTACCTAATTCGAAAAATTACGATGAGTAAAGCTGCCTTATAAGGACCTTATCTTTATAGGTAAAGTATAAGAATAATAATATGAAAGACACAAATAGCTACAGATATGATTTCTATGATTTTAAGTATATATCTCTATGAACATACATTTATAGAAATTGGATATCTGTATATTTTTGACGGCCTATATAGACATATTTTCTAATCAATCATATCTTACTGTATCTCCAATCATATCTATTACCAGATTCGTAAGGCATTCCCTTAAAAAAATATTACATAATATGCCAATTCATGCCGTACAGTTCCACCTCCAGATATCCTAGCTGGAATATCCTTAGCTAATGCATATATTTATCTCAGCGCTTTGGTTGCACATAAATCTTGTGATTTTCAGCGCCAGCTAAGCCAATTCGCACCTAATCCACCCTTAAAGGACAACACCTATCCTAACTAAGAGACGTACGGTCTACCCTCATATCCTTTCTGTCTGTTTGCCTTCGGCATATGCATTAGCTGTATGTCCTGTCGAGTCTTCTGGGACTCGTTCCTTGAAAATTGCCAATTTTCGAAATCGGAAACTTGCAAAAAAAGAGAAAAAGGAATGAAATAAGGAATAGAGGAAAAGCAAAGCAAAGGCAAAAAGAAAACAATAACAATGCATCTGAATTTCCGAGCATATCGAACCCAAAACCGACATCGACAGCGACAGAGATACCCAATTCTGAGGCCAATTCCCAATACCGAAATTCGTAATCTTTTATTTTCCTTTTGTCTTGGACATTTTTCATTTTAAAGGGCGGACAAAGCCGAGCGGACGGACAACGGACGAGCATCGACGGTCACAGCGGGCAGATTAGGAGAAAAGGACGTCGCGACGCGTCGCTGCGAGACGACGGCCTTCACGCATTGCATTGACCTTGTGACCCGAGTTGATTAGCATCAACTCTCCATTTGACCATTAAAGTAAAAATATACGGCTTTTGTGTGTTTGTATTTGGATACTCGTATAAATAGATTTGCTTTATTCTTATCGATTATTCGCTGGTTCTTTATCAAATATTGTACACTAAATTTACATTTAACTTTCATTCATTCAACTCCAACGCTTGGTCTCTTGGCACTTACAACTAGACATGGCCCCGTTAAAAACAGAAATCGCGAGCTTTCAATGTGCTTCCGCGCTTTGCTTAAATATTAGCAGGCCGTTGTTTCTAAAGCTTAAAGCTTTTCATGAGCTTTGTGTGTGATTGACGTTACGATTTGATATTTGTCAAAGGTATAATGCTGCTACTCATAGAGCTCAAACTTTTCAGGAGCTTTAAAAACAATTCATTTTATATAAAAGCTCTAGTCGGTTGTTTAAGCAGCAGTTGAAGCAGCTTTAAATCCATTTTCGTTTTCTAGCAACTTTAAACGTATGCCCTAAAAACAGTTTTAAAAGTTCTTCTCTCAGCTTTAAATGCTTTGTTTCTCTGATAATCAATACAGTTAAAATCTTTTTGAGTTGTTTTAGATATTATTTAATTTATTAATCTGCAAATTCTTGCATAAGTTTTTACTGTCCAGCCGTTCGGCCGTTAGCAGCTTTAAAAGAGCTTTACACATTCAAACAGCTAAAAGCTTACACTTAAAGCTAGGCCTTACATAAATAAAATACGAACAAATCTCGTATGTATACAAAAACTTAGATTTTATTGATTCTGAATCGCTGTCTCTTGCTGTCGTATAAACGTATAGCTATATAGCTATATATCTATATATGTATATATCTATATATCTAGTTATGTAAATCGTATCATATTTATTTACAGCTTATATCCGACTTATTTTTATGTATATATACAACGTAACGGTATATGTGCTTATAAAACTAAAAACAAAATAAAAGGAAAGACCTCTTTAAATATTAATTAGTGCACAGCTTTCGCCCACGAAAACGAGGGTCGAACGTAGCGTTGCTGGCGCTGCTGGGGGTTGATTTTCCTCCTGCTAGGTGGGTGCTTGGCTGGGTGGGTTTTTCCGCCTGCTTCACTTGCTTTTGGTTAGAGGAAGCGAATTGTTGTTGTTATTGTTGTTGTTGCTGGCTGCTGCTGACTTGCTGCCGGTGTTGCTGCCGCTGCCGCTGCTGTTGACGTTGGCTTTCGGCGTCGCTGCTGGCGTCAATTTGGTCGTTGCATGCGGCGAGCTTTTGGGACTGGCCGCCGATGCCAAGGGCTGATGCGTGGACGGCGGCGTTGGCAGCGTCACATTGGGCAGCATGGGCATCACCTGCTGCTGCCTCTGATCACCCTCATTGGCACCGCCCGCTGCATTCCTCACCTTCTGCAGGTAATCGTTGAACACCTCGTGGCCGGCGCGCTGCATGCGCGACAGCTGCTCCATGAGGCAGGCCTGCTGATAGACGGCGGGCGCAAAGTTGAACAGCAGATTCGAGGGATTCGTTGCTGCCGCCGCCACCTGCGCCGCCTGGGCGCGCATCAGATTCTCCTTGAAGAAGTTCAAGTCCAGCTGATTGGCGCTCGAGGCGATGCTCAGCGGCGCATTCATGTGCGGATGCGGATGGGGCGGCGGCGCCATGAGCTTCAGATTCGAGTTGTTGGGGCCGCCGGAGTGATGTTTGTTGTTGCCGCTGCTGTTGCGCTTGGCTGCATTGGCCGCGTTGGCCTTGATCAGGGCCTGGCTGGCAATGCCATTGGCAGTGGCATGGGCATTGTTGGGCGACTTTTTGCTGACGGGCACCTTGTTGACTTTGTTGTTGTTGTTGTGGTTGTTTGCAAAGTTGTAGGCAGCAGCGGCAGCGGCAGCATTAGCAGGAGCCGGCAACTGTTGCAGCTTTGCGGCAGGCAACTCGGCTGTGTTGCAGCTAGCTGCAGCAGAATTCTGACGCGGCAAAATGGGTCGAAACTTTTTGGCCGCCGTCTCGCCGCAGGCCGTAGAGGCAGCACCTGCTCCACCAGCTCCCGTCTGTCCCGCCTTTGGTGACTTATTCTCGCCTGCATTGGGCGAGTGCTGGCGCTTCTCGGGGCTGGGCGTCTTCTTGCCCTCCATTTGCGCTGGCTGCTGCAGCGGCTTCAGCGTGGGCGTGGGCGTGCCCTTGGGCGACGTCTTGGGCGGCACAGTGGTCACAGCTGAGGGCGGCGTGAGCCGCGCCAGCAGATGCTGCGGCGAGGGTATTGTCTTGCTTGGCGGAGCGGGAAGTTTCACCGGCGCCATGGATGTTGCCTTTTCGCGCTCCTTCTCCTTCTCCTTCTCTTTGTCCTTGTCCACGGCGGGCTGATCGGGCAGCTTGACAATCTCAATGTAATTATTAACGGGACTCTTGTGCTTGGCATGCGCCCCATTGCTGGGCGAGGAGGCGTCACCGTTGTCACGCGATATGGTTATCGACAGCGATGAGGGTATATTGATGTTGCACGAGTTGAGCAGCGATTTCACCTTCACCTGCTGCTTCTCGGGCGCATCCTCGGCGGCGGGATTGGTGTTCTGGTCCGCTTTGATGGGTGGACTGGGGAAGAGACCACAGCCGCCCAGGCCACCGCCCGCAGCTCCATTCAGCATGCTCTGCAAATAGGCGCTGGCATTTGTTGTTGCTGTGCTTGTGGCAGCTGCCGATGTTGTTGTTGTTGTGGTTGCTGCTGCTGCTGACGAAGCCGCCGTGTTTGTCGGCTTGGGCGTGTACTTGTAGGTGGGCATGGTCGGTATATTATAGTTGGGCACATATTGCGGCGAACTGGGCGAATAGATGGGCGAATTGGGCGTGTACATGGGCGTGCGGCAGCCGGGCGGCGCCTCTTTGCCCTTCGATTTGCTGAAGTTGTACAAGGCCAGGTTTAGGTAGTTGCTCGACTTGTTATTGTTGTTGTTGTTGTTGCCAGAGTTGCTGCTGTTGTTGTTGTTGCTGATGCTGTTGTTGTTGGTCTTGGGTACTGGCGGTGGGCCCATTTTGTGCTCGGTTTGCTTCGGCCCATAGACATGCGACTTGTTCTGACCACCAATTGTCTTGATCTCGGTGCCCGCATCCTTGAGCAAACGGTTCACATCGCTGGGTATATTGGCGAAAGGATTCGGACGCGCTGCTTTTGGCAAAATGGGCTGATAGCGCTTGGCGATGGGCGTGCGATTGCCCGGTGCTGACATTTGTAGTCCTGCATGATGTCCTTGCGGTTGTGCGAAATGCGGTTGCTGCTGTTGCTGCTGTTGTTGTTGCTGCTGCTGTGGCTGCTGCAGTGGATGTGCGTGATGCTGAGGCGCGTAGATGGGCAGCTGTGGTGTCTGTGGTCCATTTGTCAGCTTGCTGTTGCTGCTGCTGTTGCTGTTGCGTGATAGTGGAGGCTTGGCAGGAGGCGGGGGCATTAGCGGTTTGTCAGCGGCCAGCCCGTTGTTGGTGTTGACAATGGGCGTGGGCAGGCGTATTTTGAAGTCCTCACGGGGCAGTGGAGGGGACAGCTTGGGCTTCTTGGAGAGTGCCTTGACGGGCTCCTTGCTCTTGCGCTTGGAGGAGGCTATCGACTTGGGCGGCATGGCGCTGGGCGGCTTCATCAGCAGGCTATCGTCCAGGTGGGACTTGGATTTGTTGTTCGGTACTGGAGCAGCAGCAGCAGCGGAAGATACGTTAATCTTTGACTGCGATTGCTTTTCCGGCGACTCGACTTTCACCTTGATGGGCGTCAGAGCAAACGACTTGAGGAACTCGGACTTGGGATCCTCCAGGCAGGCGCCGCTGGTGACGCGAGGGCTGAGCACGGTGCTAACTCCATTGGGACTCAGGATGCGTTCCGTGCGAATGGTCAGGGGCGGCACGGTCAATGGGGAGGGGCTCTTGCGCTTACGATCGCTGGATGAGGACGAGGGACTGCTGCTGTTGGAGGATGACTTCGGACTGCCATCCTTGTCTTTTTTGCTCTTGGAGCGTGATTCCTTCTCCGGCTTAAGCGGCTTGACGATCTCCTTGCGATCCGGATCGGACATGTTGATGATGGTGACGCTATTGTGCTTGGACAGATCAATCTTTAGCTTAATGTTGGGCTCCTCCTTGTTGTAGCCGCCAGGCGACTGAGGCGGGCACTTGGTGGTCGGACTCTTGGAGCTCGATTTTGGCGAATGATGATGATGATGATGCTGATGTTGATGCGAGTGCTTCTCGGGCTTCTCCACCACATTGCGATTGATGACCATCTTGAGCGACTGCTCAGTGGGCGAATGCAATTTGGGCGCAATGCGAAATTCGTCTTGGGGCTGCTCCACTTTGATGCGCGGCGATTGAGCAGGAGACGGAGTGTTGGCTGGAGCTGCTGCTAGAAGCGCTGGCGGTGACAGTGTGGGCACTTTGATGGCCAAAGGAGCCGGAGGGGGCGTGGCTGCAGGAGACACACGCTCCTGCTTCAAAGGCAGTATCTGTGGCTTGACCACCGCTGGAACAGGCTTGATCAGTGGCTTCTTTGGCGATTCGTAGACACGGAAAAAGAAACGCATCGGCGCATCCCGCTTCCACGTGTATATATACGCTATATCCATGAGCGTATAATAATCCTGCAGCGCAATTGTCTTCACCTTGTACATGATGTCGATGCTAAAGTTGTTGGCATCAATCTCGTACTTGTCGTAGACGAACTTCTTCAAATGGCTAACACGGCACATGGCCGGACATTGCAGATAACGTGGACGCAATGTATCACCGAATTCCAGCTCCGAATCGGTATTCAATTCACTGCAAGGGGTGAAAGATGGAGTGAAAGAAACAGTCAGTTAGAGAGTGTCAAAGGTAGAGCTAAAGTTTATTAGAGTTATTAAAAATGGGATGAACAAACGAGAAAAGAAAAGATTTGGTAGAACTAGATCTAATCTGACTTAGTTCTTCATTATTATACATGGAATTTGAATGGAAAATATAAATTATATTCTATATATTCATATTCATAGCTTCCTTTAATAAATACGAAATAAATCCAATTTAAATTATTCGAATTGATCAAATATAAACGATAACTTTATAAAACTTAAGTCCCTGGCAATCTGCATTAGTTTATATCAAATGTAAAATATATCCAAAAAGTAAATATCAACCCCCATTAAACACCAGTAAATAAACCTATCGATTATAATCGATAACTCTATCTCTACACTACACTTCATCATATATACATATATATAAAAATAAAATTATCGATAGATAACATTCGTTCGTTTAGCACAGAAACTTACCCAAGTTCCGCGTACTCCAACGACAGCGACATATCATCGGATGGACTGAATATCAAATGCTCCGTATCATCGCCTCGCTGTTCGGGCGTGGCCAGTGCCGCCTCCTCAGGACGATCCTTGTAGAAGGCGCGCTTACGCATGAGTTCCCGTTCATAGAGGCCGGGCACGAGCTTATAGACAATCGCCTGCAGTGTGGTATCAGATCTGTAAAAGGAAGCAGAAAAAGAGGAAGAGCGCGTGGTTAGAAACGAGGTGTTGCATAATGCCCAGAGGACAGAGGCGACACACATGTGTGTGCACTCAAATGGAAAAGACAAGAGACTGAGTGAAAGGGAGAGACAGATACAAAGAGTACAGCAGAGTGCGAGGGAGAGACAGCGACAAGACCGGCTGCAATTCTCATATGATGAAAAGCGGGAAAATGAGTCGAAAATAAGAAGTCAGTCGCGCGTAGAGCAGCTAGCGACTTCCTTGGTGCAAAAGGAAGGAAGACAACGCACACACACACACAGATGAATAGATATATATAAGGATATATTAATATATATAGAGAGAGAGAGTGAGAGAGAGCGGGAGAGAGAGAAAAAGTACAAATTAGACGGCAGATGCAATTGCTTTTATGGCACGCAACAAATGCCGAGTTCTGTGGCAGAAGCAGGGACAGAGGCAACCGTGTGGCATGCGCTGTATTGCCGCCACACAGAGTGGTTGCTGCTGCTGGTGGTGATGGTGGTGGTGGTGGCGCACAGGAACTCGCATTAAGTCGCATTTCATAGGAAAGGAAAACTAGAAAGAATGAAGGAAAAAAAAAAAAAAACGTCGCTCGCCTTCAATCAAAATGATTTTGTGAAAGGAATTGAACAATTGTATAGCCCAAAAGAATAAGCGAAAGGAATTTCGAGTTGAATATGGGAACATAAGCAGATGAGGGACGGGGCGAGCACGAGGGGTCGCAGACTTAGGATCCTTGCCATGAGCCAAAAAAAAAGAATGGAGGGAAAAAAATCACGACCAGGGTAAGATCATTTACATGCCAGCGGGCTTTGGTAACCTAATTTTATAGATGTATAGATATGCAGATAGACTATAAAAATGAAGATGTGAATTAGGATGTAGATAGACTATGAAGTGAGGATGAATATATAAAGAGACAGAAAAGAAGAGAGATAATCTATAATATGTGCACGAATATTCTAGGAATATGCTTAGATTAATATATACAAAATTATAACTAAAGATTATTATTATAAAAATATTGCGTAAATTCAATATAATATGGTTATGGAATGAAAGAGGAAGAAATACTTTTTTAGGTAGATTATATGAAACTGTGAACAGATATTTTCAATGAATAAAAATAATATAAAAGGTTTACTCAATTGTGAGTTAAGAGGATTTCTTAACCTTGTTTAACATTTGCTCAATATTTGTGCAGATTATAGAAAATATTGAAGTTAATAGTTTATAGGTCTCAATAAATAATAATCCCAACAAATAATTAAGCATAATAGCAATAGCATTGTATACTCAATAATTGTGTTGAGGTTAAGGATATTATAAAACATTTTGGCTAAGATATTTTATATAATATATCAAATTCTGTTCATAATAATAATATTAGTAATCATAGAAATAGTATTATTCATGCAAATAGTAGAGCTCATTAGTAGTGTTCAGTAAATAAGTAATATTTAAGAAAAAAAAAATGAAAGAGTACTGTCTAATATAGCTAAGGAGTATTCTTGAACATTCTTAAATTCTGCAAGTTAACAGTTAGAAACAAGTTCGTATTGTATCTCAGAAGCTTCCATACATGTCTATATGTCTACACATCTCCATATCTCTACATCACCGCATCTTCTACAATACATCTCCTTATCGTAAGGTTAATCGCAATAAGTGAGGTTAAAGCTGACATTCCACTGATTGAATGACGCGTCGCATCAGTGAATGTGGCTAAAGGTTTTTCAGGTTAGCCACATAAATGTCACATGCGCGACATATTGGACGGAAAGTACGCAAGGTGTGGGTAAATTCTAGTTTAGCTAAAGTCGCCCGCTTAACTCAACTGTAAAGTTTTTGCTCCCACTCTCTCTGTGTGTTTGTGTGTGAAGGATTCCTTGGGTATCGCAGCACCACAAAACTTTCGCTGTGGTTACTGTGGTTTCGACAGTCCTGCAAACTTGGCCAACAGCCGGCCAAAAGCTGTGGGTCAATCTTTAAGGGGAAATGCCAAAAGATACCTTGAATTGAATTGAATTTTCGGGCTGCTGTCGACAAAACTTGGGCGTTTGCTTAACTTTTTATGTGAAGCCTGCCAAATATTTGCACTTGCTGTCGCTGTCTAACTTCAACTGTTGCCAGCTCACTCCCACTCACGCTGAGACTCTAGTTGGCTACGCACGTTTCTAATGAAAGAGAAGCCGCGTTCGTGACGTGCGAATCAATTTAAGCTCACAGCTTTAATAAGAGACAAACCAGACCAAGGCCTGAACCTGAACCACCCGCTGCCAGGCCAGAGTTACCCCACAGCGCACATGCACACGCACACACACACAGACACACAAACGCTATATACAAATTGGAAGTCAGGTTGAAATCTAGTCAGCGAGATAATGAATACAAAACTGAAAAGATAGTCGGAAGGCAACTGCTCACCCTCCACAGCAAGAGATGAAGCTGAAGCTGAATGAATGAAGCTCGAGCTCTGCTGAGGCGGCTGCTGCTGCTGCTGCTGCCAAATGGTGTGAAGTCAGCAGAACTAACTATATAGAACAGCTAGATATATATATATACATACCGACCCTATAAAACAGCAGACAAGTGGTTTTTGTACGTGGTCTCGAGTCTCCAATTAAATTTATTGCAAAACTTTATTGTTTAACCCAACAAAAAAGCAAGGAAATCAAAGAGAAAACAAAACAAAAGCCGAGTCTATTTATTTTGTTTTTATTACGTATTTTCCTTGTGCCGACCAAAAGGTAAACAAAGCCAAAACGACGAAGAAATAACAACTACAAACTGTGGACCGCCATGTTTTTTTTGTATTTTTTATATATATATATATTTTTTTATTGTATTGTATGATGTGTGGCGCCCACGCCCCAAAAGACTAAATAAGAAAGAAAAAAAAGCAGCAGTAAGCAGCAACAAAAAAAAGTGCTGCCCAACTGATAAACTGCAGGCCACAAAACGTGGCAACATTTTGCCAAACGCATTTCCAAGAAGTAAATCGAAAAAGAAAAAAGAAAAAAAAACGAGCGACAACAACAAGAACAACAGAAGACAGAGATAATTAACGGGCGGGTCTTGTGCCGACCGCCAGAGGCAACGATAAACACTGAGAAAAGGAAGCAGCAACAACAACTACAACAACAAAAGCAGCTGGAAACAGTCCACAAAAGCCAAAAGGCACAGACGAGACACGAAACACGAAACAGTGCCAAGCCGAGTTCCTGCTTCCTCTTAACCCGGCCAAACGAAACAACGAGTTTTGTTATTGGACTCCGAAATTGAAGACCACCAAAACGAATGGGGCAGGGGGCGACCGGGGGGCAAAAGAGATCAGCAGCAAATTTATTTCGGATTTTAGAGTTTCAGAGCGGACGATGCAGAAGATTTCAATAAAGTCAAGACGACTTTGACTTTACATTAATTAATATACATTTAATATAAAATAATACTGCTAAAATACTAGGTATATAAATAATACAAATAATACTACTACTATAAATAATACAAATAATACTACTACTATAAATAATACAAATAATACTACGTATATAATAATTAGGTTTTCTGCATTACGGAAATAAATGCAATTTTTTGTTATATTTGAAAGTTATTCTTATATTATGGAATGAAACAAAAATACATAACAAAATATTATTTTTTTAAATTGAATAAATATACTGCAAAATAATACAACAGTTAAATAAAAACAAAAAACACAAATAAATAAATTATTCGACGACAAAGCAAAAAAAAAAAAAAACAGCTGATTGAGAATATTTCTATTAAATTTTAACTTTTATATATTTCTATTAATATTTTCAACATTAAAATGGAATGAAATAAAATTGATTTAAAAGAGAAATATTGAAATAGACAAAAAAATAGAGTGTTATATATTTATAGTATTTGAATACGGAATATAAATTACAAGAAGAAAATATTTCGTATATTTAAATGGAATTCAAATTAAATAAAAATATGAAAAAAATTACTAAGCAGGAAAGGAATTTCTAGAAACTAGACAGGAATGAATATGAATTACTTAACAAACGATTCAAACTGTTTTTATTGCCGACAAAAATTCATAAATTTTACTTAAAATTCTGTACATAATTTGAGGCCATAAATAACATGGAGTTATTTTCAGTCAGGGGCTCTATTAAAGTCAAAATCTAATCTATATCAAGAGCTTATTTCGCACAACGAGCTATTCAACTGCATTAAACTCTTGCCCTGCGCAGACAAATGGAGGCTGCCGCTGTGCTCTTATATTATCTAATTGCAGTTGTCAGCAACAGATACAAATATATATAGGAGAATATACATATAGAGAGAGATATCTATCTTTATATCTTTGTGAATTGCGTCTTTTACTTACTTGATGTTGGGCTTGGCATTGTTGATGACCATCTCGCAGCGAGGACAATAGCGCTCCTTGCGCAGGTGATTGATGAGGCAACTGTGGCAGACTGCAATCAAAATAGACAAGAAAAAGAAAGAGAGAGAGAGAGAGAGAGTGAGTTAGATACTGGGCGAGACAGTGATGAAGAGCTGCGAATAAAACAGTTACAAATTGTGCGCTGTGTTGCGTTGGGTCGCCTAGAAATTATACAAATTTATGTAAAACCTTGGCAAAAATAATTCCCCTAGTGTTCGTTACGCACGCAGCTTGCCAAGGCTTATGCCACGCCCACACACACACACACACAACAGCTACCCAAAATGGATATACGATGTACCAAAAAAAGAAGAGAATAAATAGGAAATGCAAAAGCAACGCAATCCAGCTATTCAATTCGAACGTGCCACACGAGAAAAAGCTACAAACAAAAAATTGTGCAAAAAAATCGTATAAAACTTTTTTAAAGCTTAAAGCTCGACTATGAGATACTCTGTATTTGAGTTACTGGAGGCACTTGGCCTAGGATGATAAAATATTGAGAGGAAGTATGAAGTAAATTTAAGTATCTTAAATGGAACAAGGGATCTCTTAGAATCCGTATGTATAACTCAAATATGGTCGGGTAATGCTCACTAAGTTTACTTAAATACGATCATCCTAAATTTCATGATAGATTTTCTCATATATAAAAAACTTTAAATGAAAATGGAAAATAGTTTGGAATTACATTATAAAAATTCAGATTGAAATCAAAATTTATATTAATTTTATTATTATTTTTGCCTCTTTCTTTTTTAATTAATTCTTTCTGCTCTCTTTCTACCTCCTTCAATCTACTATAGCATTAATATAAAACTCCTTTTTTTAATGCGATTATACACGTCATTTTCAACTGCATAACGCCCACACACACACACACGCACAGAGTACGTGCATACCCCATTTCCCTTCACTCGCAGCGTGGTATGAAACGAAAGAAAAAAGTTTGTTTTGACTTTAACGTCAATGGCAGTCCGTCTGTTTGTCTGTCTGATGCTGTGCGTCCCCGCCCGTCTGTCCGTCCGTCCGTTCGGTACAACTGTCACCCAAGCGACAGCAACATGCAGCAAAGTGAGACAGAGGCTGGAGACTGGACCCAGACAGGATACAGCAGCAGCAGCAGCAGCAGCAACAGTGAAGAGGGGTAAAATGAGAGAAGGGGCAAATATGGAGCAATAGGTAGACGGGGCTGGCCTGGCCTGGTCTGGGCTGGGCTGGGCAACACATTCGCAGCGCCTGTTACGCTTGTCTGTCAGTCCAAAAGACATGGATGGTAAAAAAAATGACATTACTACGGAGCTTGCTCTTCAGAGGCTTCAGCCTGTTGTCAGTTGGGTGGTTCGAGGCTGGTGTGAGACGAAAATGGCCTCGAGTCAGAGGCGAGTGCAACACAGTTAACAAAAATAGCAGGACAAATAAAATAAAAGCAGAGCAACAGCTGCTGCTGGCAGCCATTCGGCATTGCGCTGCGAATGGCCAATGGAACGGGGTGGCAACGCTGCCAGGAGTAGAACTATCAGCAGCAGCAGCAGCAGCGCGCACCAGTCAACAACATGTGGCACTGTGGAGCTGTGAGTGCAACAGATTTAAATGTGCCTCGGGAGCAACATGAAATGCCAATCGGCACATGTGGTTAGACAGATTTACTGACTGACTGACTGGCTGGCCAACTGATTGACAGATTGAATGAAGGCTAACTGCATTTTGCGTCGGATGCGCAGTTAATCGAATGCCATAATTTGTCTGCTAGTTGATGTCTCTAATTTGTGCATAGAACGAAGAAGAATATGACAAGCAAATGCAAAGATAAATGCCACTGATCTGGCAACACTGAATGACATGTGGATAATTAAGTTGGCAGCGCTGGAAATGAGTTATGGGTAAACTATTTAGCATTTGTTGCATTATTGAAAGAACTTTGTCCAATTATTGGATACAATTTTGCATAACTAGGCGAATTTCTCATTTTTGTGTCATATGGCAACACTGAATGACATGCATTCAATTAGTTAGTGTATAAGCCAGACTTGGATGCATTTGTTGTAATGTTGTATGGAATTTGACTAACTGTTGGATCATATTTCGATTATACTTAAGCCTATTTCTTATTTCTCAGGCAGCTGGCAACGCTGAATGACGTGTTCATTGAGTTGGTTGAGCAAAAGCTAGATTTTTAACCATTTCTTGCATTCAAAGAACTTGCTCTAATGATTGGATTGCATTTTTCTCAAGCTTGAGTTTAACTTCTTATTTCTGAACTATCTGGCAACGCTGTAAAAGTACTCCAAATGTTTAATAGCTCACTTTAACTATCCCTTTAACTATTTAAATGACGACCTACAACTTGTGGGCATCTTGCCAAAACATAAAGCACATACCGAGCAAGTTAAGTTGGCTGCTTTAATTTTCGAACTTGTTAAGTTGGCTGCGCTAGCATAAAAATTTCGTTCAATAAAACCAAATTGCATTTGCTGTGCGCCAAATTGAACGTCAACAAAAGAGCGAAAAATGTCGCCGTGGAAAAGCGTGAAAAGCGTGCGGCCACTAAAAGAAAATCCAAAAAACTGAAAAACTGTAGCTTGAACTCGAACCGGAAATTGAAGTAACATAAAAATCGTTCAAAAGACAACTAAAACGTTGCTTTTTCTTTAAACCCGTCTGGGTCTAATCGAGCAAGAGAGCGAGAGGGAAGTAGAGAGGGAGAGCGGGCAGAATGGGTAGAGTCAGGGTGTCTCAGTTTTCCACTTGAAAGTTGTCTGATTTATGGCTCAGCAGTTATTAAGCTTGAGCATCCTCGCAGAACCATTTGTAATTATTTAGTCAGACATATGTGCCATACATCTAACTCCATTCCGGCTCTCTAGACACAAGCATACTTGCGGCTATATAGCGAGCCTGTGTTTTTCGACCTATGCTAAACAGAGTGAGCCAGAGCCGGAGTCTGCAGATGAGGAAGCTGCAACAGCAGCAGCAGCAGCAGCAGCATCGGCATCAGCAGGCTCATTAATGTTGCCCATTAACTTATCGTCAAGGCAGCATCTGGCTTGGCGTCTATGGCAGAGCACAGACAGGGTAGGCACGGGGGGGTAGGCTGAACTTTTGCCAGCTAGTATACCCTGTAATAATTGGAAAATAGATAAGAGGAGATTGTAATATGTTGCTTGGGAATGTGACCATGTAATGGCCTATATTGCATCCATAATGTTTGTTAAATATCTTCCTAAGATCCAATAAATATTCTGTTTTATTATCTTTTAATCGATAAATAATATAAATATCTATTCCGCTCTTCAATATACTCAATTAATTTTTAAATAATATATATATCAAACTTGAATATAGTTCGATTTTACTACTGAAACTCAATCGATGAATACCGCTCCTTATCGACATTTGTAGATGATAGCCTCATTTTTAAGAAATTTGTTGTAAAACACAATCGATAACTATCGATTATTTGCTTAGAATAACCATTACTAGAGCTAAATGCTGCATTAAAATGCTATATGTCTATACGTTTTCTATATAGTCTCTTTCTATATACTATTTTATTTCTGTCAATGACCTACAATCAGTACAAATCGATTTCCTTGATGAATAATGCAGATTTTCCATATAAAATCGATTTTCTATTATAACAGAAATTCATTTGAATCAGCCTATCTGTAAGAAACTGAATAATGATAATCTCCTGACATTTTTCATTTGCATAATCATTAAATATATTTAAGATGTATCTGCCTCAACCACAATCGATAAATATCGATTTATGACCAACATACTTTACTATTTATATCAGTTTTCTTTTTAAGCCCTGATAAATTAATTTGATGGGCTTCCTTTCAAACACAGATTGCAACGGATGTTAATTTTCTCACAGGGTATTTGGGAGAGTCGAGAGCCGTTTCCTATTCGCTTGGCTAACTACTTCTAATTAGCTTTTGCGCCTAGCCGCCAAGTGCCAAGGATTCGCGGTATCTAAGGGTGTCTTAGATGGGGGGGTTCGATTTTTTTTTGTTTTTTCTCGTCTCTATCTCTATCTTGGTCTTTTGGTACTTACACGAGTGCAAACATTCCACGATGGTCGTCGCATTGATCAGATAGCCTTGGCACAAGTGGCAGATGATGTGGGCATTGACGGCCGTTAGAAGTACGGGGCGTGGCGTTGTCGTCATCATCAATGATGTCGTTGCAGCAGCAGCAGCAGCAGCCGCAGCGGCAGCATCAGCAGCAGCAGCTTGTGGCGCCTCTTCGTTGGCGCAATGCTCTTCGTCGGCGGAGGCGCCACCGTTGCTGTTCGCATCCTCAATGTTCGACCAGGCGGAGGAGGATGAAGACGACGAGGATGATGAGGAGGAGAATGATGAGCATGACGAGGCAAATGCTGAACTGTTGTTGTTGTTGTTGTTGTTGTTGTTGTTATTGTTGTTGGTGATGGTGGTGGAGCCCTCAGCCGCCGCAGTTGTTGCTGGAGGTGTTGCTTCTTTCTTAATGCTGTTGTTGTTGTTGTTGTTGCAAGCCTGCAAAGCCTTTGCTGCTGCTGTTGTTGTTGTGAATGCATTAGTTACAGTTGCTGCTGCTGTTGTTGTTGTTGCTGTTGTTGCGTTTTCACTTTTTACTTTAATGCTGTTTGCTGCGCTTTTTTGCTGTTGCTGTTGTTGTTGCTGCTGCTGCTGCTGTTGTTGCTGTTTCTGCTGCTGTTGTTGTTGTTGCTGTTTTTGCTGCTGCTGTTGTTGTTGCTGCTGCTGCTGTTGTTGTTGCTGCTGTTGTTGTTGTTGTAGTTGTTGCTTCTGCATTTGCATTTTATCAACATTTGTCGCCGTTATATTTATTGCAAGCTTTTTGCTGTTATTGTTGTTATGGTTGTTGTTGCTGTTATTATTGTTATTGTTGTTGTTGCTATTTGCATTGCTGGCAAAGCTTTTGCCCGCTTTTGTTGCTTTAGTCGCCATTGCCAGTGTTGATAAATGCTGCGACTGCGACGCCGACGCAGCAGCTGGCTTTTGTGTATGCGCCATTGTTGGTGTTGTTGTTGCCGTTGCCGTTGCTGTTGCTGTTGCCTTCGACTCCGGCGTCATCATAATAATAATAATAATAGAAGTTGCGCTAAAATTCGCTTTTGTTTTCTGCAAGGAAAGAGAAAAAAACGTGGAAATTTAATATGCAGCCAAACGACAAATAACAAATGCAAATATCAACATACACACACACACACTCATACGCTAATAGACACACACATGAACATATACTAATGCACACATATGCATATGCATGAATGGCAAAAAGAGAACAGCGGCAGCAGAGTAGGGGTATTCATGCTGTGAGCATAAAAAATAAGAGCAATAATGCTTATAGAGTGCTATGCACACACACATACATACATATACCATAAGAGGTACAACACTATAAATTGATACACTTGGCACTCGATAAGTGGAGCTTACAATAAATCAAAAATGTAGTAGTATAACTAGAAAATAATTTTAATATATTTTAATAATAACAAATGATTTTATATGATTTACAATATTATTGTCTGAATAAAAAAAAATATTATGCTTTAAATTAATGTTTGCTTTTATTATTTAATTAAATGTATTTCTAATTAAAATTTTTAAATTATTTTTATAATTATTATTTAGTTAATTTTAAATTAAATTTAATTTTTAAAGTAAATACAACCTGTAGAAATTAAATTTTACGCTTTTATTAAAGTTTTAAAGCTTCTGAATCCAAAAAAATTATATAAATGTATGAATGTATGAATTTTAAAAGCTGTTTAAAATATATGAGAATACTAAATTCGCTTTCCCTCTTCGCTTTAGACCTGCACAACTATGCTTTGAAATTGTTAGCTTTCCACTTAGCGAGCTCTTACTGTGCACTCCACTCCCTGCAACAGCTTCAAATAATCCTTAAATACAATATGTAAACACAATAAAAATACGTTTCAAGTTGCCAAACACAGGCACAGACACAAGCTCACACACACACGCACACACACATGCTCAGAGAAATCTTAAATTTCCACTCGTAGCATTTTCAATGGAAAAACATAAAGAAATGTTTGTTTTTTTTTCTCTTCCTCTCACACTCCATAAAGTCGTTGGCCTCGTGCATTTTGTGCTGATTGTGAAAATGTTAAATAAAATAAAAGATAAAACTCAGCAAGCAGCAGCAGCAGCAACAGCTGTTTTTTCTTCTTCTTTTTCATTTCACTGTCAATCCATCTGTATATAAATGCATAATGATAAGAAAATAGTGAAAAATAAGCAGTCTCAGCCATATAAACTTAACACGAGTTGTGGACCATAAAAAGAAGAAAAAAATTGAAAAAAAAAAAAAAAAATCGAAAAAAAATAAACTCAATGTTAAACAGAAAATCTCATGTTAAATTCATCAATTTCGCATATTTGGAGCTGCCACGCCCCCCATTTGCCATATACGTAATTGAAAGTCAAAACTGTTAAATCACTGGCCAAAAGAAGAGGCTGTGTTTCATGATATATGTATGTATATAAATATACATATATTTTTATGTGCAATCAGTTGATGGATAATGGATGCTTGCTCCACACTGGCTTCCCCTTGCCCCGTCTGACACTCTATCGCTCACTCTGTTTCCCTCCCTTCACCAGTTGCCAAGGGAATGTTAACGACTGCCGAGCGACCCTCTACACACACACACACATACGTATGTGTATATACACGCATACTACTGCAAATTGCATTGGCACTCAAAGGGGAGCCCAGATAAAAAGGGATAGAGCGCGAGAGAGGTAGAGTTAACAGTCAGATAAGTTGGGTTATGTACGGCTTTTTTTTTGTATTTGGTGAAATGAAAATGGCCTGAAATTGAACTTCCCAAAAGCACAAATACGAGTGCGAAATGTTTTGGAAAAAAAAAAACTTTATAATTTCAAGTTGTTTTTGCATCAACGCGCGCCAGTAAAAAGTTTTACTCAAAACTTTTCACAGTAAGAGCCAAACTCTGCCTCTCCCTCTCTTGCTCTTGCTCACTCACTCACAAAATGTAAATATGAATGAATATGAAATGTATTCAGGGACGCGCACAAGCACAAGCACGAACGGAGCTGGCTTTAAAATCCTTTTTACATAAAATTTAAGTGTGCACACACACATACACACACGGACACACATTCACCCATACACGCACATAGCGTACCCATGTTTAACCCTTCCTAACAGCAGCAGCAACAACAACAACTACAGCTCAGACAGTGGCAGAGCGCGCGCAAAAAAAAAATAAGAGTACGAAAAATGAAAAGGATAAAAAAAAAAAAGTAAAATAAAAGCAAGCAGCGGAATTTCACGTGAGTTAACGTTCGAGAACAAAAGCGCGGCCTGCGCGACTGCAGCAATGCGCTACGCAAAGGGCAGTGTTTGAGAAATGCAAAGGGTAGGGTGAATGCGATAGCGACCAAGACTTTATCTCCTTTCCCACACACAGAGACGCACACATTCACACGCACTGCTTTCCATTCAGCGACGAAATAAAGTAAAGCAGTTAAAAATGTGCAATTTTACTGTATTTGTTAATATGTATGTGTACGCAGAGCATATTTATGTAAAATAGTAATAACAGCATGTAAAGCGCGCACACACAGATATATATATATGTGTAAGCTCACTTGCCAATCGCAAATTTACACTTTCTGTGAATGTATGTGTCTGTGTGTAAAGAGGGGGCACAAAAAGCTGTTGCTGTCGCCGCTACTGTTTTGGTTTGCAGCTACTTTCCGCTGCTACTTCACTTACTTCCCTCTGCTAGCAACCGAGCACATGCTGGAGTGAGAGTTGCGAGCGAGTGTGAGTGATTTTTTTTTTCTTAATTTGGGTAAAGACAGCGAGTGAGAGAGAGAGAGGTAGGGAGCGTTAGCAGCGCAACAGCTGTGTGCCGACAGGCAGACGGCAGCAGTACTGTAAAATGTTAGTGGAGCAGAGAGAAAAAAAAAAGAGCATATAATTTGCAATTGCACATCTTGCTTTGGCCTGCTTGTGTGTTGTTATTTTTACCTGAGTACAAATTTGACGGCTAATCCAGTTGAGTGCGCGGCATTTTTGTGTTGTTGTTTTTATCCAATTGCTGCAAGAAGTAAACGTAATCCAAAACGCGATGCAGCCGTTAATAATGTTGTTGCTGTTGTTGTTGTAATAATCCAAAGTGCAGTTATTGGCATATTTGCTCACGCACACTTTCACAAATATATACACACAAATACATATACATATAAATACTCTTCGCCGTTTCGTTTTAATTAGATTTTCAACAATTTATCTTGTGCCTTTCTTTCTTCAGCTTCGGCTTCAGCTTCAGCTGTTTGCGTTGCTACGTTTTATTGCTTCCTTTACACTTTACTCCTCTGCTTCGTTGCTTTTGATATTTCTCAACACAAAACACTCACACACACACACCATCGCACACAGCATAGAAACTCGAGCTCTGCTGCGGCTGTCACTTTAGGTTATTTGCTTTCGTGTGCACCTTTATTGTGTATTATGCTTTGCCTTATGTTTTCTGCACACGCACACATTCACGAACGCCGCTGCTGACGCGAACTGCGACTGCGACGTTTACATAGACGTTGTCGTGTATATAAGCGCAGGCTGTTTGCTGCCTTCTGATATCGTCGTCGTGTTGTTGTTGCTGCGGCGTTTGTCACACGAGACACAAAGGAAATTTCTAGCTTTTGTACAAGCAATGCGTTTTAATACTTTAGTTACTTTCACTATGTATTATTTAAAAATTATATAAATTTTAAAAATTATTTATTTATTTATTTATTGTTGTATATTACACTAAAAGGTATGTAATACGCTTGGCAGTTGAAGCAATTCAATAATTTGGCGATGAAAAATGCGCGTACGTCCATTCAGCTCAACGTTCCATGTTCAACTGACGAAACGACACGACGGCTGCGACGCTGACACGCTGCCAACGCTGTCTTTATTTACTTGCGCAGTCGCCGCACTCATACACATACGCAACGCCTATTTACATTGACGGCGGCCAACTGCCTGCCCTCTGCTGCCGTTTTTTACGTTTTCCTTTTTCTCTACTGCGCGCTCAGTGGCTGCCACAATACTATCTCGCTCGCACACTAACTCTCACTGGGCGTGCAACTGCTGCGCACTCGCTCTCGCTTACACTCGTTGATTTTTGTTGCGTTGGTCTCTTTTGCTGCTCTCATACGGCAAACGAAAACGGCGACGGCTTTTATATCTCATTCGTTGCTGGCGACCGCGAAACGAACCGTTCTCGTTCGAAGTTGGCTTTACACTGAGTTGGCGACGTCTGGTCGTTGTCGTTGTTTGCAGTTGCTTTGCTGTTGCCTTTTGGCTCTTCTGCTGTGCCTGCTTTTTCTTTGTTTCTTCGACTCACGCTGTCGCCGCTGCCCATATACATACACATACATACCGACATTTGTGTGAAAGGAAAGGGCTGTTGGCTGTCTCTTAGTCGACGCCGTCGAACCGTATATAAGGCTTATATATTAAATACTTTATGTTCATGTTGTTTAAGCGGCGTGTGCGTGAGTGAGTGTGTGTATATGGTATGTGGCGTGGGTTACCCTTCAGTTTGAGTGCGTATAAATATATGAATGTGTGAAGTATATAATACGCATTTTTGCTTTGATCTCTG